ACAGACTATAGTCTTTATCCAAACGTCGTAGTTTTACAGTCTAGTGATACAAGAAGGATAAGCATATATATATATTTTTTTTTTTTTGTGAGGAAGATCGGCCCTGAGCTAACATCTGCCAATCCTCCTCTTCTTTTTTTGCTGAGGAAGACTGGCCCTGGGCTAATGTGCATGCCCGTCTTCCTCCACTTTATATGGGACGCCGCCACAGCATGGCCTGACAAGTGGTGCATCGGTGCGCACCCGGGATCCGAACCAGCGAACCCCGGGCCGCCGCAGCGGAGCGCACACACTTAACCGCTTGCGCCACCGGGCCGGCCCGATAGATAAGCATATTTTTTCCATGTATTTATTCAGTAGGCAGGAAGAAATGGTTGCATTCGGGCCTGAGTGTAGTACCGCACATGCTCTGATGAAAGACCAGACTTCTTTTCGTTTTGTCTAGGAAAGAACACGTTATCTCTCCTTTAGCCTGTAAGAGCCTGGACATGGGGAGATAGTAGCATTTATTTATTCACGCTGTGTGGCTGTGGAGATTTGCAATCACTGGCTTATTTATTATGGTCGAGATAAAATTGAAGGTTCACTTTTGGTGAGGAAAGCGTATGGCGACTTCAGATATGAAGCATTGGAAAGTGCAACTCAGGAAGTGAGTGGAGAGAGCAGGATCAGCCCCAGGTGACTGATTCTCTGGTGGTCCTCCTTCTCCCTTGTCTGATTATGGCTATATGAATTCAGTGTCATTGCCCTGAGCCTGTTGGAATTCATCAGACTGTAAGATTTTCTCTCTAGTCTAATCCTCACATACCTGCCTCATAGAAGGATTTACTTTTTTAAAAAAAGCACCTTCGTGAACATTATTTCTGTTGATCTCCACGACATCAGTGGAGGTAGGTTCTGTGATCCCCATTATGAGGCTCAGAAAGGGTAATTGGCCTGCCCAAGGTCACAGAGCAGAGCTGTGGGTTGGGTTCTTTTTAATTCAGTGTAGCTGCTCTCTCTGGTTGGGTGTTCATAACATAGGATAAAATACTGGAAGAGGAACAAGCATCTGCTAATTACCCATAGAGCTTTTAGGTTTCCTCTTTCCTGCCAAGAAGGGCAGGCTCAGTTTGCGCATGTCTGCATTGGTGGTGGGAATGTCTCCGTGGCTCCCAATTGCTGGTGGTCAGCAAGTTTCCCTTCAGCTTTCAGAAAAGAGGAAGCAGTTCTGCCCCTGAGGTTGGCTTGAGGCTTGGTGCAAGAAGTGAGCACAGGGAGAAGGTCCCTGTATACCCATCTGGTAGGACTGACATCTCATTACTTCATGTGTGGTTTTGAATGGTGCCTGGCATGGTGGCCTTGCTGTGCCATTTCTAGGGAGAGAATGGATCGCTTCCCCAACCCCCGTCAGCCCTGAAAATTACTCTGTGTTCATTTCAGAAAGTAAAAGGAGTGTACTTTGGCCATAACATTGAAGAAAATATTGGACATACTAATTTGATGAGTAATACAAAGAGTTTTGGATAGAGGAAAAAAAGTAGTTTTCCAAGATTTGAGCAAAAAGAATTCAGTGCAAGGATTTGGCGTCAGAAGTCGTCAAAGAGGATTTTCACTGATGAGGAGTTCTCTTTTTTAAAGATGATCACGTTATACCAGAGAGCTGATTCACGTGGTCTTAGGGTTTGGTCAAGAAAATATGTGACAGCACCAGCTAGCTTCCCTGCTCTCCCGCTTTCTCTTTCCCTCCTTCCCTGCCTTCCTCCCTCCTGCTTTCCCTCCTTCTTCACCTTTCCTCGCTTCCTTCCTCCCTCCTTCCTTCTTTCTTAGCAACTCCTCTAGTCAAATGGCTCTGTGGAGAATATTTTTTATTTCTTTGTAGAAAAAAGAACAGAGATGTTTGAGGGAAGGGCAGGGCTCCCTAACCTTTGGTTTCTTTGCTCTGCCCTCCTTATCTGAGCTGACTAATTAGTCCTGCCTCCACAGCAGTCAGCCTGGAGGCGGAGGCCATGTTGAGGGGGCTCAGTGGGATCAAAGGTACATGGGAGTCAGGTCAGGGAGAGCTCCTGTGGCCTGTGAGTGCAGACCCATGGCTTGTCTCTGTGTGTCATCCATCCTGCTCTTTTTTGGTGCAGAGAAGCTGGAGGACTGTAGTTTTGTGTCCTTCCGACCCCTGGACCCCACCCTGGGCTGCACTTAACCAGGGCACGTCCGCCTTCCTTGTTTCCAGGCCACTCGTCTCTCCTTGCTGTGTTCCAAGGTCTTAATCATCACTAATGAAACAAGGTTCTCTGTGATTCAAAGACATGGAGAGCAATTATCAAGTTGTCATTCTGGTTTTCCTCTTGGGAAACTTGGAACGTGTAAGGAGCAAAGGTTTGCATACTAGAAGAACCCTACATCCAACCGTAGAAGGTTGGGGTTCCTTCCCTCTCAACTAGTCCTCTATGGTCTGAGGAAATATTAAGGTTTTAGGAGGTTTCTACAGCTGTTTTGGCCTTAGCTTTTAGGAGTTTGGGAGATTCTAGGCCTTTTGAAAGAAAATGAGATAGTAAGATAAATGGTTGCTTTTGATAATTGAATCAAAGGAAATTAGATGGTCTTAAGGAATATATTCATTATTCCTGAGAGTCTCTTTCTTTTCTCTCTTTTATGAGTCTCAGCCAAGTAGAAAATCCATACCCTTAGCCACACTGGTGAATGGTTGCTAACAGCATTTGTACAATTATTCTAAAGTTTGATTGCAGACTGATGGTTGACAGCAAAAAAGCGCTGTTATTTTTTCCTCATCTGCATCAGATTTAGCACTAGCCTTATAGAGTGGAGTTATGCAGAGGGTGACTATACATTCTGAGTTGCCTTGAGCAGTCCTGGTTTACACTATTGCCCTGTTTTTATTATCATTAGTGCCACTTTTCACTCTCCAAGGTGTCCCCGATTGAGAGATAAAGTATATGGTGATTCTAGTTATGTGGCATGTGTGGTTCAACCTTAGAGAAAACAGAGGTGGTGAGGAAGTTCTAAGTAAAGAGGATTAGGTATGACACTTGATCACTGATGGTCCAGACCCAGTTGATAAAGATACTGTGGATTTTCTGAGTCTAATTCCAGTAAGAGCAGTGGATCCCAGATTACATGCAAGGCTGCTTTTGACCTCTCTATCTGAAAGGACATACAGTCATCCCTCAGTATCTGCAGGGATTGGTTCCAGGACCCCCCACAGATACCAAAATCCGTGGATGCTGAAATCCCTTATATAAAATGGCATGGAATTTGCATATAACTTCTGCACATCCTCCTGTATACTTTAAATACTAGATTACTTATAATGCCTATTACAATGTAAATGCTATGTAAATAGTTATACTGTATCATTTAGGGAGTAATGACAAGAAAAAAATGTCTATACGTGTTCAGTACAGACACAACCATTGTAGGCCTTTCCATTCAGGCTTGGTTGAATCCGTGGATGCGAAACCTGCGAATATAGAGGGCCGGCTGTATTTAAAATCTAGCACTTGTGTACTGTTCCCTCTTTAATCAATAACTTAATAATGCCATTCCAGTGCAGACAGAAGAAGGACGAAGACTTGAAGCACAAAGCCGTTCATTTCACTCCTTTCGTATCATTTAATCTTCTTCTGAAAAGCCACAAATGAAAATGAGGACTTAAGCACAGCATAACAATTGCCAGCGCCGTATTTGAACAATCATGGAGAGGTTTCCTCATTTATCACTTTCTGAAGGTATTTCCAATTCTGGGGTTATGTTTTAAACTTTTGATAATGGCTCAAAATACATGTTAACCCCTATTTATTTTTTTTTAGGTAAGGTTTTCAAAATTTTCTATATCTTTATGGTTGCTTATTATAGACCACCACTGAGAAGTAAGCTAGGGATTTTATGTGCAAATGTGAATAGTTCTGAAGACTGAATTTCACAGAGATTTTTTTAGCTCCCGTAGAAACGAAAGTGTTCTTGACTCCTTGCCTATCAACCATATGAAGTTTTCTAGATTCATCTTAGAAAATCATCTCCTCAGAGAAGGATTTTCTTTATTCGTTGGCTCAGTTAGCTAGGGTCAGGGTCTCCCAGAGCCCCCACCCCCTGCAGGACTTCTGACGCTTCTCCCTTATCTGAGTTCAGTAGCCTCCAGGTCATCACTCATTTTAAGATTCTCATCTTGAGCATTAATTGAGGAACCTTAAGTAGAAGGCCACCTCTTATGGCCTATCTCAGGCCATCCCTTTACCAACCTTTGTCTTCAGATGTCTCAAAAATAGATGCTTTCTTTATAGGATGCAAAGTTCATCTTGGATTCAGATGAATCCATAAACGTTTTAAAGCTTCTCGTAGAGAAACCACTGCACATTAATGTCATAAAAGAAGGCCATCCGGAGTTTTAAGGCTAATTTGCAGGTGAAAACCCATTTTTGTGAAAACATACATAATCTGACTGCAGTGTTCACAGACAGTGGCTCTGTCAGACCCTGGCCTCTGAGCCTGGTGTGGAATGCATTGCTGGGGTCTGTGAAGTGCATTATCCATGAATATTCACTTCTTTTGTGGAAAAGAGTATAGAAAAATGATGAATTCACACCAAAGGCAACACATTACAGGGGGCTTATGACCTGTTGATTTTTAAGGTGCTGGAGGGGTGGTGGTGAATCCTTTGGGGAGTCAGATTATACTTACATCCTATTTGTGTACTTTTCCTGTTATGTCTCCTACCTTAACAAACATCCTTCCGATAGATTCCTGTCTGATGATTTCCAAAGTGGTAATAAAGCTTTATCATCTTAGTGGGAAGATCATTCTAATAGCACAATTCTGGCTTATAGAGACCTCCTAGGAAACCGGTTATTTTCCTTATCAGTAATCTGACATATTATCATTGTAAAAGTACAGGACAATTTGTTTATTTGGGAATGTAGATAGGAGTCTTAACTCATGAGCTCTTTGTAGAGGGAGCTAGTGGTAGTGGCATTATTAAGGTACATAATCCAATTCTTTCCCTTTTCCCTGTAGGTACATGGCTAAGACCTGGACACCGTCTGCACCTTACCCAGGATTCTACAGTTTTCTCTTGGTGAATCCTTGATGGATTTGACTCTTGGTTGCTGGCAACTTTTGGGCAGGAGAAATGGCTACAATCAGACTGGGGTTTGGAAGGCAGAATTTTTGTCTGTTAAAGAGGAGGAGTTTCTTGCTGTTGAAACTCACAGCTGTTGTCTTTGCCGTGCTTCTATTTTGTGAATTTTTAATCTATTACTTAGTGATCTTTCAGTGTCATTGGCCTGAGATGAAAACTCCAGCCTATGGTGGTGAAAAAGAGAATCCTGAACCTGTGCTGAAAGCCATATTTTTGGCTGATACCCACTTGCTTGGGGAAGTAAGAGGCCACTGGCTAGACAAATTACGAAGGTAGGAGCCCACATCAGGAATCTTTCTGAAATTCTACAGGCAAAAAAGTATAGCCCTCTCTCCGTAGGTCAGGCTTAATGGCTTCCGGGTACTTATTAGTTATTTTCCTCTTAAAGGAGGACTTGTGGGGCATTTGACTTTTCCTTGAACTTACTATTTACTGAGCATCTGTTATATACAAGGACCCTGAATTTGGGAGACAGGTCTGGGTTTGAGAGTTGTGACTTTGGACGAGTTACTAGAGCCCCTCAGAGCCTGTCTCTGCCTCCTTGTTTGTAAATGGGCTAGTATGAAAAATTTCACAGGCTGTGTGAAGAAAATGCCCACAGCAACGCCCGCACGTGGGCGTGGTCAGCAAAGGTAAGGTTTACCGTCACTGAGGGAGAGGAAGAAATAGAGCTGGATTGGTGGTCCCCTCCTACAGTCACTGGTGTGTAATTGTGAGCCCACTTGGTTTTTGCCTGCTCTGGGCAGCAAGAGGAGCTGATTCGTGGCTGTCTCCCTGGGGAGGGGATCAGGTCTTGTCTCTCCAGCTTAGACCTGCCCAGCATAGTCTGTCTGTTTTCCCACCAGAAGGCTTTTTAAAGAATTATTCTTAATTGTGGTAAAATACACATAACATAAAAGTTACCATCTTAAGTATTTTTTTTTTTGGTGAGGAAGATCAGCCCTGAGCTAACATCCATGCCAATCCTTCTCTTTTTGCTGAAGAACATTGGCCCTGGGCTAATGTCTGTGCCCATCTTCCTCTACTTTATATGGGACGCCTGCCAAAGCATGGCCTGATAAGCGATGCGTAGGTCTGTGCCCGGGATCTGAACACGCAAACTCCTGGGTCACCAAAGTGGAGCTCACGAACCCAACCACTATGCCATGGGGCCAGCCCCAGCATTTTTAAGTGTACATTTCAGTGGCATGAAGTACATTCACATTGTGGTGCAACCATCACCACCATCCCAACTGAACTTTTTCATCATCTCAAACTGAAACTCTGTCCTCATTAAACACCAACTCCCCATTTCCCCTCCCCGCCAACCCCTGGCCACCACTCTTCTACTTTCTGTCTCTATGAGTGTGACTACTCTGAGTACCTCATATAAGTGGAATCATACAGTATTTGTCCTTTTGTGTCTAGCCTATTTCAATTGGCATTATAGCGTACAGGTTCATCCCTGTTGTGGTATGTATTAGAATTTCCTTCCTTGTTAATGCTGAATAATATTCGTACAGACCGCATTTTGTTTATCCATTCACCAGTCGATGGACATTTGGGTTGCTTCCACCTTCTGGCCGTTGTGAATAATGCCCACCAAAAGGTGATTGACGGAGGCTTTCAACCACTGATCAGCAGAGCCTCCTTCTTGCCCCTGGTGACCCAGCACCCTGACCCCTTTTCCTTACCATTGCTTCATTTGCACCTCTGAACAGGTCTTTATTCTTGCGAGTGGGAATATCCTTGGAGTGCTATGGATATGGATGAACCTTATGTCAGGTGGGAGGGTGAGATTTGTAATGCCCCAGGGGTGGATGAAGAAGGCAAGACAAAAGAAGGAAAGATGGAGGGGCTGCTATATGTTTTTACTCAGAGTTTTAAACCAAAAGAGGTGTGAGCTAGAGAAGGGCCAGGGTGAAACTTGAGTTCCTTTGGCTTTGTTTGGGTCTTACAAATTGAGCTTTATTTATGACCAGTCCCCCAAGAAATCTTCCCTGCTCTCTTGCTGCTGCTGTTTCTAGATGCTTTCTTCTGCCGTGTGAATAACATTAAAAAAGAAAAACTGAGAAATGTATTTTGAGAGGTATCTCGAGTTAAGATGTGTACATGCAGTGGTTTATATGGGGCCTGAAAAGTCTTCTCTGGCCAAAAATTGGCTTCCCCTAATTATATGCTCCAGGATGTAACATTCCCCTTTGGTAGGGGAAAAGCAGCTGGGAGGATGCCTTAAAAAGGAGGAAGGATTGGCATCCTTAGGAAAATGACATAGGTTTTAGTTGGTTAGAGAGAAGAAAGGGATGGTTGAGAAAACATTGACATTTTGAATACCTACTGTGTGCTGGGCACTTTACAAATGCTATCTCATTTAATCCCATAACTATCTTGTGAAAGTAGGTTTTATTATCTCCATTTGCCGATAAAGAAACTGGGATTCAGAGAAAGCAGGCAACATTCTCAAGGCCACACCACTGGTTGGTGAATGGAGCTGGGATGTTAAGCCACTGCCTCTCAGGTTCCAGATCCCAGTCTCTTTTTGTTTGCTTGTCTTATCTATGGGATGATTACTTGTATGTCTAAAGTGTGCAGGATGTACAGTTTTAATATTGGCTAGTCTGTTTCTGTCATTGATTCCCCCCAACTCTAAAGGCAGGAAGGAAGTTGAGGTCCCTTCAAGAAGTGAAACTTAAGCCAGATGCTATCATCTCCTCGATGTCGTCAAAATCAGTCTACATTGGGCATTTTTGGAAGCTGCGTTAAGCTCTCTCAGATCCCTGGGGCTCTCATGACTGAGTGATGGTTTTGGGGTGCAGTGTGGGGCCTGATCTGTGGGTACCACATAGGGGAAGCCAGTCTTTGAGATGTGTGGGAGGGGCAGCCCTATTCTCCTTTGGTGCCTTTGTTCCCTACATCAGATATGGACTCTGGCGCTTCCAAGCAGAGGATGGGAATGCAAGGGTGGAGCCATGGAAGGAGAATGGGATCATTTAGTTCACTTTTTAAATGGCCCATAAGACAGCAGTAAGCTCCACCCAAAAAACAGACTGATGCCTTACTTTTTCCTGTTGACCTCAAGGGAATGGCAAATGGAGAGAGCCTTCCAGACGGCTCTGTGGTTGTTGCAGCCAGAAGTCATCTTCATTCTGGGGGACATCTTTGATGAAGGGAAGTGGAGCTCCTCCCAGGTAGGACCCTGCGATCCAGGCACCCTAATCCTGCTTTGAGGGTCCAGCATAGACAGCCCAGAGAATCCATGAATCAGTATCAGCCAGGGTTGGAAGTTTTGCTTAGTACCAATATTACAAATGTATAGTCTGTCTTGAAGATTATTAGGATCCGTGTCTAACACCAATCTTGAGTTAGATTGGCTAATCTTATATTTGTCTGTGTAGGAAATATGTAGATTGGCCAGACATCACTTTGTTGGAATGCATATTTCCAGGAACCTCTTGGGAAAGGGAGAAATAGGCAAGGTGGAAGCTATTTCATTGGTCACCAAAGTTACAGAATACATACTGAAATGTAATTTGACTTTACACACCCATTGAGCCATTATATTATGAGAATTGTGCTACAAAAGGTACTTGCTACTTTCCTCTTATTTTCTTTCTCCTGAGGGAGAGGTCTAGAAGGAGCCATGGAAGCTTGGTGTGAGGTTCCTCTACCTTCAGGGATCGCTGAGACCTCTGGCTCGGAATTGAGGTGGTGGAAGCCTTTCCACAAACCAAAGATACAGGCTGTTCTGACTTTAGCTGTCAGAATGCTTTGCTTATTACATTCCTGAAACTAATGAGAAAAAAAAAAAAAAGTTGTTCTTGCTACTTAGTTAAAAGTGTTCAGTCACTAATGGTTTTTGGAAGACATTAAAAAAAAAAAATTCATTGGTGTTTCCCAGGAAAATCCAAAAGCTGTACAAAGAAACTCTTGGTCTAAATATGATAGAAACCCACTGTTTATAGGGTTGCAATGTTTGTTATAATCTAGTCCATAATTAAATTGAGATAATGGAAATGCTATATGTAAAAAGCAACTTGTTATAAAATGAGGTTGGATATACACGTTGCTTTTGCAAATTAACGGCAACATTTTGTTTTTTATGGTTTTCTAGTTTTATGTTATTCTGATTTTATGTTATTCTGACTTTAATATTTGTTAAAGTGAAGTCTTTGTAAATGTATTGAAGGACTCTCTATCCAGCATATTTCCCAGGTTGGGTCATATTTAAAACTTTTAGGTTGATTACTATTTAACTAGAGTATTGTCTTCCCTAGAGTGTTTGTCCAATTATGTTTTTGGCTTAATAAAAATAAGAACTATGTGAACATAATTCTCAAGCTTTAATATCAGAATAATCTTGACATATTTGTTGAATTTTGTCTTTCTTTCCCCCACATCTCATCAGTTCTCATTCCCATAGTTGTAGCCACAGGGAAATGCTAATGCTGAGGGGTGTGCTCATCCTTGCCTTGGGCGAGACACATGAATTTACCTGACATTTCCTAAGAGCCTGTTCTTATAACATGTCCAGATTGGAAGTGATTCTCAACCTGGGATCCATGAATGGTCTTCAGGGGATTTTGAAATAATAGGTGTATGTGCCAAATATTTTGGGGGTACCAGTGAATGTTTTAAGATGGGGGATAATATTTAATCAAAATTTATCATCAAATTAAAAAATTAAAATGTTAAGTTAGTCTTGGAAAAAGAAGTATGACATAGAATTAGAAATTCTAAGTTCTACGTTAACTTTATGAACATCTGATTTGGACAGGGGAATTAACTTTTCACTGTCAAAATAAGGAGCATGATTTTTAGCCACAGGGAAGAGAAGGTTCTGGGTCTCAGGCAGTGGCCCTTCTCTCACAGGCCTGGGCAGACGATGTCGAGCGGTTTCAGAAAATGTTCAGACACCCACGTCATGTGCAGCTGAAGGTGGTTGCTGGCAACCATGACATTGGCTTCCACTACCAGTAAGTAGTTCACTAAAGCATTGCACCATCAGAACTTTGGTAACTGTCATTTTAAACCTACAATTCAGGTGAAAGCCTTATTTGTGCTGTATGGAGGAAATTTGTATTCCTTGAAAGATGTAAGCTCTGGGATGTAAGCTCCAGGAGAGCAAGGATTACTGTCTTGGCCCATCTACACCCTCAACAAATCTCTGTTTAATGAATGATTTGTATGTGCCCTTGGGTGGTTCTAACTTGAAACTTACATTTAATGGCCAATTATTTTCTTTGGAAATCAGAAAACAAGACAATTTAGACTTTAATAGCTAATATTTATATAGTGCTTATGATGTGCCAGCCTGTTTTAAGTACTTTACGTCTATATATTAACTCATTTAATTTTTACCATGACCCGATTGTAGCAGTGGGGAAACTGAGGCCCCAGGGACTAAGTCACTTGCCCCAGGCCACACGGTCAGTCAGTAGTGGAGCTGAGAGTTGCACCTTGATAGCCTGGGGCCAGCTAGGGCTCTGAATTAACAATGCTAGGCTGGCCCTCGAATCCTGAAAGTCATTTTCTGTGTTCATGATAACTCTCAAGAGGTTCTAAAATGGCTTGTTCTGAAAAATGTTTCTCTTTACCATTGAATGTAGGATGAACATGTACAAAATAAAACGATTTGAGAAAGTTTTCAACCCTGAAAGGCTGTTTTCTTGGAAAGGAGTTAAGTGAGTATTATTTGTGAATTCTTATGAAGACCTTTAATCCTTGGAAACTTAATTTTTCCCAGGTGACTGCCACAGTGGGTCAGACTCGTGCTCTGTCTGGCTTGGTTTACAGTTTCTGAGGAAGGACCCTCAGGCTGTCCTTGCTGATGGTCTCCATCAGAGTCACTACTCTAGTTTTCCTTAACAGCCCACAGGGAATCTTCCCAGACACGGAGGGAGTTTTGTTCTTTCTGTTTGCACTGTCTTTAGGTGATATAAATTTCATCAGCGCATTTTGTAAAGGAGTATTTTTTATTTGTTCAAAGTTTACTGATTTCCCTTTATAAAGGATGTTCCTGTGGTTATGGTGTCCTAGGATTTGGTGGCAAGTGTGTTCACTGTGCTCTGAGCTGTGTGCCCACCCCCGACTTCCATCAGCCTTGATTTTTACATTAAAGCATCCTAACCCTTTAGTCTCACCATCAGCACTGGTTCCCCCTCTGTGTGGCCATGTTCATATCTGTCTCTGGACTCTCTCTGGTCCGTGTGCGTGTTTATAGCACAGTGGACAAGACCACACACATTATTCTAGTTGCAGACCTAGTGGAGAGAGAAAAGGCGGGAGAGGAGGTTTTCTCCTATTTTGATCATATCCTTTCAGCGGGTGTCTGGTACTCCATTGACTTTTGCCGTAGCAGCTCACTGGGCCCATCAAATGAGACAACCTTTGTGAAGCTCCCAGAGCCCAGAATGCAGTGGGCTCTCCACAGATGCTCCCTCTGCCTGTAGGGCATGTCTCTAGTAGCTTCCTTCCTAAGTCATATGGAGACTTGACACAGTTTGAGATATTTCTCCCTAGGCAGAGAGTTCAAGAAACTTTAAACACATTTATCATATTTCAGATCATTTGATTGTTCAGCTCCTCATCTCTAAATTCTTAAAATTTCAACCAGTATTTACCCAATAGGTACCTTCTTCATGCCCAGTTGATATGTGTGTAGGGAAAAAAGCATATTTATGGGAGTCTATAAAATATAATTAAGGTAAAGTGACTGCGAAGGATAAACATACCTGACTTTGTTATTATCCTAGTTTGGGATTATCCATACCAGTTAGCTCTAACCAGCGCCCCCCCCCCCAACACCACCCCCATCGTGTTTGCTGAGTGGGTGGAGGTCACTGAATGTTGGCCGTGGCTCACTTTACGTGGTGATAACAGTATCTAACACTTACTGAGTCCTTTCTAGTGGCAGTTCTATGGTGTTGTACTGTTTCATTTATCCTCACAACAAGCTGATGGCATGAGTGTACCATTACACCCCCATTTTACAGATGAGGCACAGATACACTAAGTAACTTGCCCAAGGACACATACTTAGATGTTGAGTAGTGGTAGTCTGACCTCAGAGCTTCTGTAATCTGGGATTTCTCACAACTCAGGGTTAAAAATCCTTTTACCATATCCTGGACTCCACTCCGAGTAATGCTATTTTGTTTTCTTAATATCAGCTCGTACCTAAAAACACAGAATAGTTGAGTTGAGATTTAAAGCCCTTCTGGGGCATGTTTCTTCCCACTGTGGGTACTTGGCTTTTGTTTCGCGGGAACAGTATTGCGAGGAGACGGTGGGGAGCCCAGTGGCCCTGACTTTCTCGCTCCCGTCTGCTTCAGCTTCGTGCTGGTCAACAGCGTCGCACTGGAAGGGGACGGCTGCAACATCTGCTCTGAAGCAGAGGCTGAGCTCATCGCGATTTCTCACCAACTGAACTGCTCCCGAGAGGTAGGAGATCCTCTCAACGGCACAGGTGCCCGGTCTGGCATCTTCTAAGGCACAGCCAGTCGGTGCTCTTTGTGCTTTGTCAATCTCTCAGATCCCTCTTCCCTTCCTACCATTCAGTGAGGGCTGGGTTCCCTGTTAACTGATTTCTGACCAGCAGGAGCATCGCTCCACCAGGTGTGGAGATGGGCCCCCACTGCCAGCATCCGCCCCAGTCCTTCTGCAGGTGAGCGGGGGAGAAAGTGGCCCCGTGTATTTGGCAGAGCCACCCAGAATCTCATGAAGTCACATCTGACTCCTCTCTAAACCCTGGACAGCATTTTCCACTTTACCGGAGGAGCGACGCTAACTGTTCTGGGGAGGACGCGGCACCTCCGGATGAAAGGGGCATCCCCTTTAAGGAGAGATACGATGTGCTTTCTCGGGAGGCTTCGCAAAAGGTTTGCTCCTGTCCCGATGCTGACCGGAAGACAGATGACTTTCACAGTTACTGACCCGAGGACGGGGGCAGGGTGTTGGCAATATCTCAGATTTTCATTTCATCATTTGTTCCTTTTTTCCCCCTCAGTAAATCCACTTCTATTTCCTAATATCAAGTTAATAATATTCTCAGCTATTCTTTATTCAAAGTTTTTCCACTAACCTAAATGTATTTGGAAATGTGAATGGGACTTAGAGTTAAATTTTTAGGGACTTAGTTAAGATGTGCTTTCTTAAATATATATTTATATAATATATAATGTAATAAATCATATTTATGTAAAATAAGTTATAAATATATTTATGAGATAAATTTATAAAAATATTTATAAAAGTAAAATATAATTAAAAAATATAAAATCTGGGGTAAGAAGAGTAGATTCTCCCAAAGAGCCTGAACTTAATTTTGATAGAGTCTGAACAAACCAAAGGATTTTAAGGAAAAAACAGAGCAGTCCTACCAAGTAAGGATTTCCTATTTAACGACGTAAGCGGTGGCCTGGCTCTGGGCCCTGGCAGGGCTCCATCCAAGCACTAACCACCTGTTCTGTTCCCTGGACGCGGTAGCTGCTGTGGTGGCTCCGGCCGCGCCTGGTCCTGAGCGGCCACACGCACAGCGCCTGCGAGGTGCTCCACGGGGCCGGGACCCCCGAGCTCAGCGTGCCGTCTTTCAGTTGGAGGAACAGAAACAACCCCAGTTTCATCATGGTAATGTGAATGTTTATTTTCGTCAGAAAGCTTTCATAAGTATTTAAATCAACACAGTAATCAACTATTTAATTGCTGCAATCTGTAAAAATATACAAAAGCCATAAATGAACTTCCCCCACACCACACGCACACTTAGCTGGATACACTGCCCTCTGTCTGAACACCGCTCTGGGGACAAATAGACACGGCATTATTACTGGAGGCCTGAGGGAGGACCATCTTACAGAGTTTTCTCCCTCAGGGACAGCAGCGTCCTCTGATATTCGGCTCTGTGTGTAGTTTTCTAAGGAAACAGGATCCTTTCTTCATTAGCTGTGCTCAGTCATCATGTCTTTCCAAACATGTGCATCTGCCCTGGCAGAGCAGTGCTCCAGCTCCTGCAGGTTGACTAAAGGTGTTTCACTCAGTGACCATCTCATGTTTCAGCTCCTTTCTTTTACCCATGGTTCCAGCATCCAGTTCATAATGCTTTTATGTCAGGTACTTTCACTTCATCAAAAGATAGGGAAAACCTCATGTTTTCAAATGCAAAGTAAATGAAAACATTCTCCACTGTCATTCCACATAGCAAAAATGTCTACCAAAAAAGGAAAAAGCCCACCGAGATGCCGCTGGCACATGTATTTCTAGGTAACAGAGTGCCTATTTTAGCCTCAAGTGGCATGAAAAATAGCCTCGTACTCCTTGTCCCCCGATGACCATTGAACTAAATCTCTATGCCTCTGAATCTCTCTCATGTGTGCCCACTACATTTTAGAGGAACCGACTGTGCTGGGGGCTAGTTTCAACGGAGAGGTCAGCCCCCCAGACCGTATCCACTCAGCACCCTTGGACTTCCCTTCTCTCGCTCATGCCTGTAGTTGGTGGGCGGTGGCTTGTGTAGGCTGCAGGTGTGCCCTCTTAGTCTCACCTGAGTAAGCCAAGAAGGCTGCCTTCCTCTGTTGTCTCTAAGTCAGACTGTTGTGCTGGAGCGGGGCGTGGAGCTCTCACTGCAGCCTAATGTTCTCGTTTCCTTTCCAGGGCAGCATCACGCCCACAGACTATGCCCTTGCCAAGTGCTACCTCCCCTTTGAGGACACGGTTCTGATCATATACTGTGGAGCAGCTGGGTTCCTTGTGGTCCTCATATTAGTTCACTGTGGGCTTCTAGGCTCACCTTTTCTTCTTGGTTGGAACCTGCTCAGAAAACCTAAGACAACATGAAGAGCAGGAGACTTTTTGCATTTAGTAATAAATATCAAAGCCAAAGAAACTGAACTTCGGGCAGTGCTTATGTGAGATGAGACCAAGGTAGGCTGTCTTTATGCACATCATAGAAATTCTAAATCACTGATGCAAATTACTGCAGAATGAATAGTTGATTGTGCTGTTCTCATGCTGTAAAAATGGAACATGTACTCTACAACAAGTCTGTTTTCTCATTTTATCAAATATGTGTATAACCAAGATGATATCTGTACAATATGTAAAAGCTGTTGATGGCATCACTTGCATGCACTAGACAGTCTTTCCTCCCCAAGATGGGCTGCAGCCCTGGAATACACTTTGGAGTAGGTATACACAGACATGGGTTTGCTTCTCTCCTCCTATGAAGTAGTTCTCAAATTCCTATATATTATAAAGCTGTACACTTAAAAGTACAGATGCTACAAGCAGGAATATATTTTTGTCACAGACTTTTGTACTTCTGTGCTAAATTAATGGAATCAGATTTTTAGATATGTGTAATTTTCTCTCTAGCAGACCAAGTCGTTAAAGCTGAATTTAATGCCTATCAATGATTAAAAGAAACTTGAAAAATGGACTAGGAAGTGGCTTTTGATATTTAAAAATAAATGTGTCTTTATAATTTTAAGCCAGATAAAATATATTCTTTTTGTGTTTTTTTCTGAGTCTGGCTCTTTCTTTAATCAAGCTTTTAAATAGGAAGTTTAGTTACAGGGGAGTCGTTGAGTAATAATGCACATAACAATATACAGTTTCATTTTTTGTGTATGTGTGGGGATGTCTCTCTTCAGTTTTTTTTCATGTTTTACTTTGAAACTGCAATGGAATCTGAAAATAATTTCCACTTTGTATGTCTCAGTTCAACTGAGAGTTTTATGAAACAGTTAAGGATGAGAGGAGCAGGAATTTGGTGATAATGAAATAAAATGTGTTTTTTGAATTGATTGTCTATAAAGTTGTCATCCTTTCTTTCATGGAAAAGTAGTATTTAAATGTGGATACGTTTATAAAGGATTATAAAATGCTGATTTATAGAGTAAACTTGAAAATATTAAACAAAGACTAAAAGACTAAAAGGAAATTAATGAAGTAACGTGAGGCTATCACTTCTCTGGAGTTGTTTTGTTGAAATAATCTTTACAGATTATTTTCTTTTTTTTTTAAGATTTTATTTATTTTATTTTTTCCCCCCAAAGCCCCAGTAGATAGTTGTATGTCATAGCTGCACATCCTTCCAGTTGCTGTATGTGGGACTCGGCCTCAGGATGGACGGAGAAGTGGTGCCTCGATGCGCACCCGGGATCCGAACCCGGGCCACCAGCATTGCAGCGCGCGCACTTAACCACCAAGCCACAGGGCCGGCCCTTTACAGATTATTTTCGACCAAAGAAAACTACCTTCGAAGCTGAGGCTGTGGTTAGAACATGGAATGTCACTGCTACAGTGATTCTTGTGCTCTAGATTTCGGACTGTACCAGAACTCTTGAGGCTGCATTTGCAGATCTTTTAAGTTTGAGAAACAGCCATATATTTTGACTTTATTTTTCAAATAAAGGTTTTGTAATGTTTCTTCTTCAGAAGACTGATGAAGCTGCCTGCTTTGATTCTCCTAAGTCAGACACAAACGCTGACGCGCTCGTGTCTTCTTCTTGCTATTTGTTTACAGCAGAACCTGTGGTCAAGTAAGTGGTTCAAAGCTCAGACTAAGGGAATGATTGACCTAGTCCCTAGTCAGAGAACTTGTAAAAGTATTTAAATAGCAAAGTAATTGAGAAATTTATTGTCTGGAGAGAAAAAACATCCTTGGTTCCCTGAAAGAAGCCTGTGATGTTGGTAGAGCATTGTTTGTAAGATGTGATTAACGTGTATAGTTTATATACATTTATTTTCTTATCAAGGAGTATTTTAAAAAGTACCAACCTAAATATCCTAAATTCTACACATACCATTCATTCCCTTTTTCTGAGTAAGTGGCAGGTAATGTTGACATTTAGCTGTTCAGCACAATAAAAACACATTTCTTTTACAGGTATAGCCATAATCAAGGCACAAAGATCTACAAGGATTTTTCTTTAGTAATTATACAAAATAATATTACATTTTGTGGTCTGTACAGTATAATAAACCAACAATAAAAAGAACATATGGAAGGAGACTATTGCCGAAGCATTGTGAACGTCTAGAGAATCATTTTTAGTCAGGACACACTCTGCAGTAGTGAATGTGGTAGGTTTTCTGCCTAAATGTAAAAGGCTCAAAGTAGCTCTAATTCAGATGCCTGAGGCTGGCAGCGACTCTCAATATGACTGAAAAAGGATTTCTTTCCACTCTGTGGCCTGGAGTCTACTCTAAGGCTTAGGTCAGTGCAGATCAGACGGGGCGGCCACTTGTCCACCTGCAGCTTCTTAAAGCGAGACCCGGAAAGCGTGTGGCCCACCGCATCATACAGGAGCCTCTACAATCATGCTTGATCACTCGGAAAAAAGTGCATTCTCCGCCATCTATCAAGTTCTTGATGAATCAATAAATCACTGAATGGATGAATAAAAGAGGTCCCCACCCAGAGAGATTTCACTGCAGTGTCACCCAAGGGAGAGCGGATGGTTTGCAGTGACACAAGTTGGTGGAGGTGGGGAGGCCATGGAAGGCCGCGTTCAATGAAAACAAAAGCTACAAACCAAACCTGAGGGGAACAGAGGTAGCCAGAGGCTTGGTGGTCACACACAGAGCCAACACAGAACGGGACACAGGGCAGCTGGATGCAACTGGGAACTCACTACTTTCTACCATGGCTGGGGTCTGACAGACAGGCAGTCCTGGAATAAATGCTCTGCCTGGTGGGGTTGCTGAGAGAGGAGAGGCGGGCGGGGAGAAGGCCCGAGAAGGCATGCCACCCGCCCCGGGGCCGCCTCACAAGAGTTCGTACTGTTTGAGGTGCATCCTCTGGATGATGTCACGGCAGTCATTGAACACCCGGCGGATGTTCTCCGTGTCCACGGCGCAGGTGAAGTGCGGGTAGCAGTAATGTTTGCCCTCCCCTGTCGCCGTGCTGATCCTCTGCAAAAAAAGAGCCGTCTGTGCTGTGGGGCCCTGGCCACCATGCCCAGGGGTACATGTGGATGCTGCCCCTACCCCGTTAATTCTTGGAGAAGAATTTAGGTAACACTTTCATTACAGACTAGAGGATTTGGAGTAGTTGTCTTGTTCGTGTGACATAGGAACACAGCCGTAGGGACTGTTTAAATCCTGAACACACTGCTGGAGAACCTTATGCCTACCTCCTGCCCACAGAAGCTTAGAGTTCAGTTGAAACAGGATGTACATTTAAAAGACAGCCAGTAGAATTCAGGGTAGAATTTTCCAGAAATGAAAGTCTAAACCAGTGCCTTCCAATGGAACTTTGTGCAATAATAGAAACGTTCTATATCTGCCCTGCCAATATGGTAGCCACTATTACTAGTTGATGCGACAGAGAAACTCAATTTTTAGTTTTAATTTTAATTAATTTAAATTTAAATATCCACATATGACTAGTGGTTCTGCATGGATAGTGCATCAGTCATGTTGCCTCCTCCTCCACACAGAAATTCAGGTTCCAAGGGGTGTCCCTTGGCTAGCAATGGAAGGTTCATGGTGTTCTGGGAGAAAAGTGCTCTGTGGCCGAATAACTGAGAAACACTGAGTTAAATTTCATCAGTCATGATTTGTGAGGACATCTTGGTGTGACATGCACATGTGCATGATGAAGCTAGGCGAGGCAGTGTGGAGAGAGGCTGTCATAAGCTGAATTGTGTCCCTCTCAATTGGGGGACACAATTCATATGTTGAAGTCCTAACCCCCAGCACCTTGGAGTGTGACTGTATTTGGAGAGAGGGTCTTTAAAGAGGTAATTAAGTTAAAATGAGGTCATTAGGGTGGGCCCTAATCCAATAAGATGGGTGAACTCATAAGAAGAGGAGATTAGGACATGGAGACACACACAGAGGAAAGTCCATGTGAAGACACAGTGAGAAGATGGCCATCTACAAGCCAAGGAGAGAGGCCTCAGGAGAAACCAACCCTGCTGATGCCTGATCTTGGAGTTCTAGCCAAGCCCAAGCAGGCTAATGCAGAGGTCATGTGGAACTTTCCTCATAGGTGCCCCCAGGAATCCCTGGATGTCCTCTCATCCCCCCACCTTCTTGTTCTGCAAAGCATCTTGGAAAACAGTCGCTAGAGAAATGCCAGGGCCCCTGCAGGGTTGTTGTGAAGATGTTCACCAGGTTGGGAAACTCCACCTAGGGGGAGACACTTGTTTTTAGCAATGGTTGGGCTTCTCTTGAGCAATTTTTAAAAATTTTTTACTTATGGACACTGAAATGTGTAGGTTGCATATCTTTTTAGTTCTAAAGCACCCGGTGAGGCACATGGCACACACACAGTAAGTGCGTAGTCAATGAATGAAAAAAGAGGCTTTCTTCTGTAATAATCTGACGAGTTTGTCCCTGCCTGGAGCAACAAAAATTTAAGGAATGGAGTCATTACAAAGCCTGTTGCAGTTTGCAAAATTCAAATGGTTTAAATCTCTAAACACACTGACTTGCATTAAAAAGGACAGAAATAAGCTTGTCAAGGAAAACTAGGGAGTTCCAGATCTGCCTGGCTGGGTCACCTGCCCAACTCTCTGAGGCCACTTCTAGGAAACAATGTTGCAGGTAAAAGAAATCTGAGGGGAGCTCGCAAAATACAAGGAAGATAGCCTGAAAAAATACAGGCTGCTTCTAACAGAAATCTTCCTGAAAAAATACAGGCTGCTTCTAACAGATGCTAAGAGGCGTCAAGACACAGGGAGCCAATCTCACACTCACCGCCTTCTGCTTTAAAAGGTTGGGCTTCAGAGATTGCTGGGAAGATGGCAGCGTAGGAGGACTCTGAACTCATCTCCTCCCACAGACACAACAAATTTACAACTACCTATGGAACAATTACCTCTGAGAGGGAACTGGAAACTGGATAAAAAGAACAACAAGGGACAACACTGACAGGGGTGGAAGAGGCAGAAATACCCCTCTGCTGAGGGAAAAACCACATTCCAGCCATGGCGCTTCACAGCTGGGAGCAATCTTAAGGTACAAAGCTTTTCCTGGAGGAGTGGGAGATCTGAGCGGGAGATCTATGCCACAATAAGCAGCCTTTGAATTCAGCACAACCGAGACAAGTGCCACAATGCCTGGCTTTGATGGCTATTAAAACCAACAGGGAATACCCTCAGAAAAGCTATTGAACATAAGACAAAGAAAAGCCTGCTCTTAAAGGTCCATGCACAGATTCACCGGTTCTGGAAACCAACACAAAATCACCAGAAAGAAAGGTGCATAGTCCTTTGGTAAAAGACAGTTGCTTGATAAGTTACGAGCGCATCTCAGGGAGGCAGGAGGTGGCTGGGCCCACTTCTCCAGGGACTGAGACACTGGCAGCAGCCATTTTTGTGACCTAGTACAGGCGTGCTGACACAGGTGCTGGCAGACGCCATTGGATTTCTTCCCCTGGCCTATTAGTGCAGGGGTTGGCCCCGTCCACTAGAGCACTGATTAATCCAGCTCAGCAAGGGTGGATAGCCTGCCCTTGGGACTGGCTCCACCCAATAGCAAGCCCTCCAGCAACTTGTAGACCTACTTAGGTGGGTAGGTGGGACCTCTGCCGTGGGGCGAGTGTGTCCACCTCGGCAGGGTAGGGTGTGCACGAGGGGCGGGCCTGCGTTGGCAGGCTGTGTGGGACCTCTGCAGCAGGGTGAGTGGGTCCACTTTGTGGGACAGGGCATGTGTGCAGGGCAGGACTGACTTGACGGGGTGTGTGGGCCTGTGGGCGGTGGGGCTTGGTTGCAGCTGACTGGTGCCACTTGCCTTCTCAAACAGATACACTGGGGATTTGCCCCACCTTCCAATGTCTGAAATGATTGCTGCCATGCCTGGGGCTGGCCCCACCCAGCTGCACTCCTGACAGAGTTGACAACAGCCTCACAGGCCAGAGGCCTACAGCAATTGTGAGCCCCTGAGCCTAGAAACCAGCCACACTGGGGGCCTGACTCACTAAACAGCAAAACAACAGAAGGTGCGTGCTATTAGACCTTGCAGCCAGCTGTGCTGGGGCTCACCCCACCCAATAAAGTGACTAAAGTGACTGTAGCAGCCGCACACAGCTGAGCCTTACAACCAGCTGGCCCAGGGGTCAGCCTAGCCTACCCTTGTGCCCGCAGCAACAGCAACCCTGTCACAACAGAAGGGCACACGTAGCCCACACAGGGGACACTCCTGGAACATTTAGAACTGGTGACAAGAGGGAAGCACATTGCTGGGCCCCATAAGGCATCTCTTACATAAGGCCACATCTCCAAGATCGGGAGATATAGCTGATCTACCTGATACATAGATATCAGCACAGAGAAGTAGGCAAAATGAGGAGACAAAGGAATATGTTCCAAATAAGAGAACTAAACAAAAGAGACATAATCTACCTGATGAAGAGTACAAACTAACAGTCATAAGGATGCTCACTGATCTTGGGAGAAGAATAGATGAACACAGTGAGAACTTCAACAAAGAATTGGAAAATATAAAAAAGAACCAATCAGAACTGAAGAATACAATAATGGAAATAAAAAATTCACTAGAGGGACACAACAGCAGAGTAGATGACTGAAGAATGGATCACTGAGCTGGATGAAACAGCAGCGGAAATCACCCAAGCTTAACGGATAAAAGAAGAAAGAATTAAAAAGAATGAGGACAGTCTAAGGGACCTCTGGGACAACATCAAGTGCACTAACATCCATATTATAGGTGTCCCAGAAGGAGAAGAGAGAGACAAAGGGGCAGAGAATCTATTTGAAGAAATAATAGCTGAAAACTTTCCTAACATAAAGAAGGAAACAGACATCCAGGTACAGGAAGCACAGAGAGCACCAAACAAGATGAACCCAAAGAGGCCCACACCAAGACACATTATACTTAAAATGTCAAGAATTAAAGATAAAGAGAGAATCCTAAAAGCTGCAAGAGAAAGGCAACAAGTTACATACAAAGGAAACCCCAGAAGGCTATCAGCTGACTTTTCAGCAGAAACCTTATAGACTAGAAGGGAATGGCATGATATATTCAAAATGCTGAAAGGAAAAGGAAAAACCTACAGCCAAGAATACTCTACCTGGCAAGGTTATCATTCAGAATGGAAGGAGAGATAAAGAGTTTTCCAGACAAGCCAAAACTAAAGGAGTTTATCACCAAGAAACTAGAAATGTTATAAGGGACTTATAACATTTATAAGTCCTTATAAGAAATGTTAAAGGGACTTATTTAAGTGCAAAAGAGAAGACCACAAATAGGAATAAGAAAATTATCAAAGAAAAAAAAATCACTGGTAAAGGCAAATATAACAGTAGAAGTAGCAGATCAACCACCTATAAAGCTAATATGAAGGTCAAAAGTACTAAAATTATCTATTTCCATAAGAGGTTAAAGGACAGATACACATACACAAAAGAGGCTAAATATGATATCAGAAACATAAAATGGGGGAGGGGAGTAAAAGTGTAGGACTTTTAGTAAGAAGTCAAACTTAAGAGACCATCAATTTTATATAGATTACTACTTACATAGGTTATTATATATGAACCTCATGGTAATCACAAACCAGAAACCCATGATAAATATGTAAAAAATTAAGAGTAAGGAATCCAAACATAATACTAAAGAAAACCATCAAATCACAAGGGAAGAGAGCAAGAGAAGAAGAAAGGAACAGAGAAGAATTACTAAAACACCCAGAAAAAAAGTAACAAAATGGCAATTAAGTACATGCTTATCTGTAGCTTCTTTAAATGTCAATGGACTAAATGCTCCAATCAAAAGACATCGGGTGGCTGATGGGATAAAAAAACAAGACCCATATATATACTACATACAAGAGACACACTTCAGACCTAAAGACACAAACTGAAAGTGGAGAGATGGAAAAAGATACTCAATGCAAATAGCAATGAAAAGAAAGCTGGTGTAGCAATACTTAAATCAGACAAAAT